GTGAGTTTTTGATCGATTAACTATTACAATTATACTATATTTTATAAATGTCTTTTTGTGGTGTTTACTTTTTTTAATTATCATTATCTATTATTTCCTTAAAACTTTGGTTGATTCACCAAAGCTTTACTTTTGAAGTGGAAGCAAAATTTGAATCATGATCTTTTAAAAAAAAAATTAGGGCCAACGCCCCTGAACCCCCGCCTGTGCAGACATAAAAAAAATATCTTGGGTCCGCCACTTGATAGAATTAGTCTAGTGATAAGAAATTTGAATAACTTTCATGATATTATAAATTCAAACCTCAGTGTCCTATTTTTTCCTTTGAATCTATTTATAATTTGCATTTTTATTTTTAAACTTTGACTAAACCTCTCTAAATTAAACATTAAAAACGTTTTTACGTATCTACCCCCTCTCCCTCTCTCTCTATATATATATAGAGAGGTAAGATCCTTTGATACCGGTGTCAAATTTCAAATTTGACACCTCATCTGAGAGCTGTTAGATCAAAAAAGATCAATGGTGTCACATGCTTACAAATAAGAGTCGTTGATCTTTTTTGATCTAACGGCTCTCAAATGAGGTGTCAAATTTGAAATTTGACACTGGAGTCAAAAGATCCTACCTCATATATATATATATATATATATATATATATATATATATATATATATATATATATATATATATATATATATATATAGGAAAAACTTTATTTTCACCCACTGTAGTTTTGTGATTTATTATTTGATCCCTTGTGGTTTTAAACTTATCACTTAGTGTTGAAATAATTTATTATTTAACCCCTTGTGATTTCAAATTTTCACTTAGACCTCTTGGGGTTACAAAAATTTTCACTTAAACCCTTTGTGGTTTAAAAAATAAACATTTTAAAAATATATTTAAAATAAAAAAAATTCTCATTTTTATTTTATATCTTCATGTAATGGATTTAGGGTTTGAAAAATATTTTAAGTTATTTATTCTGAAATTAATTTATAAATTATCTTAATTTTTTTATTTTAAAAATAAATTTGAAATTAAAAAAAATTATTTATGATAAATTAAATATGTATTTTTGTTTTTTAAACATTAAATGCATTAGGTGAGGATATAAAATAAAAAGAGGGTTAAATTATCTTCTTTGTAACAAGGGTTCTAAGTGAAAATATTTTTAACCACAAGGAGTCTATGTAAAAATTTGAAACCACGAGAGATTAAATGATAAATTATTTAAGCACAATGGGTCTAAGTGATAAATTTAAAACCACGGGAGATCAAATGATAAATCACAAAATCACAATGGGTGAAAATGAAGTTTTCCCTAAAATAAAAAGAGGGTTAAATTATTTTCTTTGTAACAAGGGGTCTAAGTGAAAATATTTTTAACCACAAGGAGTCTAAGTAAAAATTTGAAACCACAGGGGATTAAATAATAAATTATTTAAGCACAATGAGTCTAAGGGATAAATTTAAAACTACGGAAGATCAAATGATAAATCACAAAATCACAATGGGTGAAAATGAAATTTTCCATATATTTTAAATGGAGATGTTAGCTGTAATATTGAGATTCAATCAAAGACAATGGTCAAATTGTGATTAAAATCGGGATTAACGTGCCATATGGCAATCGATATGTCCATGCAGTTAAAATCGGGATTTTACCTAAAATCAAAAAGAAGATAAAAAAATCGTAAAACGTAAAATTCTAACGTAAAAAAAATCGTAAAAAATCGTAAAAATATTTGAAATTTTGATAAAATCGTTTTTATTGAAAAAAATTATAAAATCATAAAGGTTTAAATCAGAATTTTGACTGCCATAAATATGTCCAATGGATGCAACCCAATATTCAAATTAGTCCCTAATTTAAGACAAAGCTGAGGCGAGAGAGAGCTTAACGGTGCTTCTATTTTCTGATTGATATATTAATCAAAATTTTATTCATTATTCAAACTATTCAAAACAAAATCAAAATATAACTCTCACAATTGCTAGATTTCTGATTTCTCTGGATTTGGGTTTCAATGATGTTTCTAAACTCTCATTGTTTAGATGATGTATGGCAACTAAATATAAGAGAGAACTAAAGAACCGTAAAACGTGAGTGTAAACCCATCACAGGGAAGATTTTGTGCAATTAAAATGAAATGGATCGGCGATTAAACACTATTTTATACTTGAATAACAGGAAGATATAAAATTATATTTTGAAGATCCTTCAACCTATCCTAAACCAAATAAAGCTAAACTCACTATTTAATTTAGGGAAAAATATTTCTCCAGTCACCGGAGATAAAATTATCTCTAATGAACCCAAAAGGATATCGTTTTGAGATTATAAGATTAAAAAACTATGATGATAAAGACTGATATAACCCGCAATATATTATAATTATAAAAACACCTTAATTTCTATCCCAAATGATGTCGTTTGGGGCTCACCGGACTTATGTCCATTGACTGAAAAAATCCTTTATCCTTTAATTTATGAGTAAAACTAATCTTTTTTTTTTTTTTTTTGATAACAAGTAAAACTAATCTTATGTTGCATAAGATAGTGTACCTTATGTTGTGAAACAAAATCAAGGCGGGACCCACTAAAAAATAAAAAAGACAAAAAATTAAGATGAGACCCACCTTGCACTATCTTATGCAACATAAGATTAGTTTTACCCATAATTTACATCAAGTGATACAAATGCAAAAAAGCTACTTCTCTTCCGAGAATATATACAAAGCAAAGCATATCTTGAGAAGAAGATAACAGATGTAGGAGATGCATGTGAAATTTGAGAAGTAAAATTATCTTCTTAATTCTTGTTTTTATAAAATTATTGTTTTTATAAAATTAGAGTTTTCGGTTACCTGATTTAAATAGTTGGAGTGTCTTTCTATACTTGTTTTCAGTTCTCTACAATTGTTATGTGAGGTTGGAATTTAATTCCAGAAGTCAAACATCAAATTCAAAAAATTGATGGTCCAATTCCAAGACTGAAAGATCATTCCAAGCTTGTAAAGGGGCAGAAATATGTTTGTATTTTTCTACACAATTATTCCAGAATCTGATCCCAATTCAAGGTGCTTGGTGTAATTAAACTTTTTTTTTTTGCCAATGTAGGATTATATTAATAAACATGGAATTTAGAACCGACCCAATTCTTAAATAATTGTTAGAAAAAAGCTGTCATTGATTTCCCATTCACCGTATATCTTAACCTTTGTCGAGTAATGAAATAAATATCAACTACGAAGTATGAATCTACATGTGTTAAAAAGAATATCCGTTAGCTTTGAATTTGACTTGTTTAACAACTTGTTTCCTATGGTAAATGGATTGTTGAAAGTGTCATTTTACAGGAGAATTGAGTCTAATTACAAAGAAAAAAGTCCATAGTGGTATATGGCTAATTGGATGGAAACTTTTCTAATTTTTGCTTATTATTTTGGCTTTAGGTTGCAGGCAAAAATCACGTGGGCAGATTAGTAAGAGTTGAGGAGATGTGGACCGTTGGATCAAAGAAAAAAAAGAATGGATGGCTGACAAATGTTTTGGTGTTTTTAGTTTTAAGTAGGAGTCTTGGTCTTAGTTAGACACCTAGAAACTCTCTTTTTTTTTTTGAACAAGACACCTAGAAACTCTTGTTAGTTTTTAGTTCTCTTTTCAGAAGTTCGTTCAGTTCTTGAATTTTAGTTTTAGCTTTTCTGATTCTGACTCTATAAGTGCATGCACAATTCTTCTTTTGAAAGGATTCAAGACTGAGCTATGCTCAACTTTCAAGCTCTATAATTGTGATTAGTTTTCAATTTTCACCTTGAAAAATCCGGTTTGTAGTTCTTAAATCTTTACATTTCATCTTGGTAAGAAGGTATAATGTTCCTTGTTGTATCAAGTTTCGTTATTCCTTTTACTGTTAATATGGCTTGCTAATTTCCTCTTTTCTGGAATTCGAGATAATTGGATAATCTCTCTTATTATTGAATATTGTTAAGCCCTTTTATTTCATTTGATTAGAAATTCTTTTAGTTTCAACAAATCTTGGGAAAGAGTCTTGAATATTCTTTTAGTTTTGTTAATCAAACCCTTCTTGTTTTGTTTAAAGAACTGGGTCTTAACACTTGAATTGGGAAATTCTTGTGTGAGTGTTTTATTAGTTCAATTTTTGCGATAAAAGTGCTCTAGCAGTAGTAAAATGCAAGAATGCGAAATTATTTGGGAAAATCCATGATTTAAGAATTTCGGTACCTTATAACTCGTGTATTTGTTGAATAGACATATATGTTATTTTTATTAAATACAAGTTTGATTAGGACTTCAATTCATTTAGTTTTTAGTTTAAAAGTGAGATTACTTTTTGTTCAAGAATTTGAAATAGAATAAAAAGAACCCAATTCAACTGTTCTCTGTAGACGATCCTTAATTCCACATACTACCTCTGTGTTTGTTAGTACAAGATACAAAATTTTCAATCACAGAAATTCCATTTAACAATACCCCTATAATACCAAATAGTGGTAGCTTATTTGGTGCATGGAAGCTGAGTAGGTAGTGGAAGGATGTGAGTTTGATTCCCATCAATACCACCTTTGAGAGAGGCATAAAATCTTATTCTCTGACCCACTCCAAACTCAGATTAGTTTCATAGCCGGTTCAAAGAGTTGAAGCGTATGGGGATATCAACTCGCCTTATAAAGATAACTAGGGTTGGTATAAAAAATAAATAAATATCCCTAATGTATAAAAAAATAAAAATAAAAATAAAAATAAATATCCCTTTTGTATATATATATCACTTCCAAAAATCCTGGGTTGGAGGGTCTGACCCCACCTAAAATTTTCATGTATAAAAAATAAAAAATTGAATCAATCAATGAATACCCAGGAGAATACGAGAAAAGCTTAATGATGATAAAATATAAGCGGTACTTGTCTTATAGTAACACAAAATTCACAATAGCATTCAAACGAGATACCAAGAGCAGGAACAATTCCAAAATTTGATAAATTTGGAGGACAGCATAAAATAAACCTATCAATATTCAATACCATACATAACTCAACCTTGATTATAACATTAATCAGAACCCAACCCATAAAAATGAAATCATAGTCCTTCTATATATATTCTCTAATAGAGTAATATGAAATAGGGAAATACAAGTGTCCACCAACAGGAAAATTGATTCCTTCTGCTGCCGAGACAATTTTTGATATGGGTCCCATTATTTAGTAAAATAAAAAAATAAAAATGTTCGGCACAGAAAACAGTGAATGTGCATGAAACAAATGTCTCCTCCTAGGCAAGGGGGACATAAGCCCCTATAAAATATGATGGGTCGCCCGATTTACACAATCTCTGAAAAGGAAAGTGAAATTTCAAGGGACCAAGATTACAGAGGAGCAGGGGCAGGTCCTGAAGAAATGTCCTCTGACACATCAGAAACAGGACTAGGGGCAGCTCCGGAGCTCACAAGCTCGACCATAGCACGACGAGGGTTGGTCTTGTGCTTCTCACAAAGTTCTGGCAAAAATACCCCTGCATCATATAAGGAAAAAATTTTAATAAATAGAGTCCTATGCTGGCTATCGAATAAGGGTAAAATTGTTCTTTTATAATTAAAAAGAATTCACAAAATAATTTTTTTATAAATATTTAAGGATATATCTGTATATAAGAATTCTCTTCATTTTTACTCTCCTTAATTAATTTGGATTTAATGAGAAGTGATTTTTTATTTTATTAAAATTGAGTCCTATGCACGTAATCAAATAGGAACAAACAATTACAAATATTCTGTCACAACATGAAGAAAAAGCAACCACACCCACTTCTTTTGTATTTTTCGCAAAGAATAAGAACAATATATACCTTGATTAGATTTGAAGTAAAAATGTTTTGGGGTATGGTATCATGACGTTTTCATAGTGAATGGTCAAAGCAGGAGGCAAGAGAATAACATGAATAAGCATTGCCCTATATTTAAGGAAAGGTAACCGGCATATTTATTTTTTATTTTAAATTTTTTGAGATGGCCTTTAATATTGGTTAAGAAAATCCAAGCAAGAGATTGAAACAGAAAACATCAAAGCATTCTTTAATGGTCAGAAACTTCAACCATGATTTATTCTTGTTAGTTAAACTTCCAATATTGGAGAATTTATTCAGAGGAGACTTCAGTATTCTCTTTCTTTCTTTTTCTATACTGAATAAATGGATGGTACCTAATGACCATGACTACTACTTTTATTAATAGGTCAATTCTACAAAAACATGTCAAAAACAAACAACTACCCAACAAATTAACTATGATCATGCATAGAAGTTTCATGTTTTTTATGTTTGTAATTGGGAGTAAATTTCATGTGTTGAATTGGACAAAATTGTGTTAATGGTAGCATTAGCGCTAGCAATGAACAATTCTTACCCTCTCCAGCAGCCAAATTGAAGAAAAGGTCAACAATGTTGGGGCACTTTTGGTAACAAGCTGGGGAGCAAAGCTTGCCAGTGAATTGTGGCTCAAAGAAAGCATCAGATGAGATCCCAACAGAACTCCTATCAACCCCACATGCCTCCACACATTGGTCTGTTTCTATGTACTCTGCCATCCTCTCCACCACCACTTCCGATGTCCGGCATTGGTACTCCACTCCGCCGTCCGCCGCCTTCTCCGTCTCCAACAAACACCTCTTCCCTGATGAAGCTATAGAGAATGCACACACATCCTTTGGAAGGTCCTCACATACCATCTCACCTGCCAATTCATAAATTTTACACACAGTGAGAAAACAAAATCAACATCACCTTTGTTCCAAACTAATTGGAAAGTAAGAAAACTTAACATATGAAGAAAAATAAATGAACAAGACATGGAAAAAAGAAAAGATATACGTACCCAAAGATGCATGGATGAAAATGGAAGAAAATAAAAGAACCAAAGACAATTTGGTTGAGAAAGACATGGTTCAAAATGATGGGTATAGTTTGACAAATACAGAAATTGTTTTTTGTTGGAAGAGGGAACCAAATGGGGTTTGTTATGTAATGAGAAGTATTGAAGAAATGACAACAATGATTTGGAAAAGGCAACTAACTAAGGTGTATATATATTGGTTGGAAGTGGGAAAACTAAGCCTCCTTAATGGAATTAATTACGCGTTTGGAACGGTCACAAGTTAGCTAAGTCTTACGCCATTTTTCTATCATTTTCTTTTTATTGAATAAACAAATACTATATATATATTTTTGAAATTTGGCTCTACTTTATTGTGTTTGTTTGTTGAGTTGTTCGTTTACCCTTTCGTTGTTGAATAGGGTGTGCATGATTATTGACAACTACCTAAGACGTGTTCGGATGTTTGAATTCTTTACTTCGAAGTTTCCAACATGTTAAGGCCATAGAAGTCAACCACCATTTGTTTATTTTCACATCCATTCATATTTATCGAAAACTTGTCTACTTCAATGTATCGGCAGCATCTTTGCTTCCAAAAAATTTCGGAGAAGAAAAAAGAACCAAGTTTGTCATTTGTGGGGTAACGTGCCTTATAAAAATTCAGTTTTACCATCAACGAAGCAAGTTTGAAAAGTTTGAGTGGAAACATCTAGAATATGGGAATATAAAACCAACAAAAAGGATCTTAATGTTTTAAGCCTAAGATAGTGATGCTTTACAAATTAAGTTCATGTTATATTATTGTGTCAAGAAAAGAAAAAAATTAAGTTAATTATCAATGTTGCTGCAATTAGTTAAGCTAATCAACCGGTGAAAAAAATATATTAAATGTCCATGTTAATATAGGGAGAGATCTTTTAATTTCAATGTAAGACTAAGAAATCTTACTCCTCAGATCAGCTGTTGATTTTCATTCATTTACTAGTTATAGTTTATTGAATTATACTAATTAATTAATTATTAATTTCAATTAAATTATTAATTATAATATGAGAATAATACTTTTTAATTTTACACTAAATCCTACTTCTATTGAAAAGGTGCGCCCCCTATACTGCGCGTGTCACATTTATTTTCATAATTGTAATTGACAATATGTGACTCTATTAAGAGGGAATCAATTATTAGGCGATAATCAAGCTTCCTCAACTAATCACCGATGAAAACATACAAAACTGAAAATGACTGTAATGGCGTATAACTGTCGCTAACAGCTTCTAATATATTACTAATACTAAAGGGGATTGAATGAAGGTGCATTTGTGAAATGATTTATAAAAGATAAAAATAAAAAAGTTATTGTGTTTTAAAAGTTACTTATTTATTTTTAATGTTTTTGTTTTATCTAATTATGATTGAACAGATTTGTGTATTTGATCATAATGTGTTGATATGCTTGAGCATCCATAGAGTTATCTAGTTTTGGCTGCAGCAAGATGCTCCTGCTTAGCTTGGGTAAAGGAAAAAATTTAAAGTGATCCTTACCCAGGGTGGTCCTTCCGAATAAATTTTTGATGCATCTGTTGTATCTAGATTCAGTATATCTCATCAATGGAAACAATACATGTCAGAGGAGAGAGAGAGGATTTGACAGAAAAAAGAAAAGTTTGATTGAAATATAATATTTCCATTGGTAGAATGTACTGAATCTTTGGTACAACAGTAGCACTAAAAATTTATTCGGTCCTTCCACTAAAAGAGTAACATTTGGAGAAAAAAAATATTTTTCTCTCTCCTCTCCTCTCTCCTCTTCTTCTCTCTCATCCGGTCCACTGATTGGGTTGCGCACCAAGAACACAAAATTAAAGCTCAGGGTAAAGGGAGTTGTGCCCATACAAGGCGCTCCAACACTCAAACCAATATTAACCACCGTTATAATGTGCAAGAAAAAATATTTATCTATATATATATATATATATGACAATATAATAAGCAAGGGAGACGATAAAAGCAATTGTAATTTTTTTTTTGTTAATGTATTAAGGACATTTAAGAGGTAGAATATGAAAGGAAGGTTAGCCAAAATTAAAGTACGAATTACAAAAGCAATAGTAAATTTCTTTCTAGAAGTAGGTTAATTTTTTTTAAAAAAATTCCTTATAATCTCTAACAAATATTTATTATTGATAGATCAAAACTAAATTAACTTTTGTTATTTATTATCATTTTGCAACGGTTAATTTAATTTTAAAGGAAATAATTATAAGAAAAAGGATATTGCAAATATAATCTCCCTTTTCTTTTTAACATATTAAGAAGAACTGAAAAGTGGTATGAGATGTTATAAAAAAAAAAAAAAAAGTGGTATGAGAAAGACAGACAAGCTAAACTAAAAGCAAAGCAATCTCAACAAAACTCGGTGCCATTCAAGCAGTAATGTTACTTGTACAGTTTAAAAATATATATATAGATACATATGAGTTTAATAAATAAATAAATAAATATTAAATAAAGGGATAAATTATTTTACTTACCATTTTTTCTGGTTACCTTTGACTATCACTTTCCAATTAGATCGGAATCTTAACTAACATTTTTTTTTCTTTTCTTGAAATTTTGATCTAACGATGTTAGAGAGTGGTAGAAAAAGATAGACAGAAAAGAGCAGCCTTAAATAAAATATGTCAAACTCAAAAGACAACCGCATCACCAGTTGGTATATAGTTTGTTAAAATTTATAAGTAGCATAGTTAAAACTATGTGCGTGGATTTTTTTTTCATTTAAGCCTATCTAAATAGGGAAAAGTGTTTGTCATTTTAAATGACAAAAAGTTATGTCATTTTAAGAGAGATACAGACACAGAAAATTTGAATTTTAAATTAAAAAAACCACTCATTTTCTCTCTCCCATGATTTCCGTTTTTCTGTGTCTATCTCTCTCCTAAAATGACATAACTTATGTCATTTAAAATGACAAACACCAAACTCATCTAAATATTATGGTTTATTCTAAAAATATTTATGAGAACATTGTCATGAATGTTGGTGAGGCCAACATCCTACTTGGCAAGACTTGATATGAGTTGGAATCAAATAAAACAGTGGTATTTTGATAAGGATAAATAAATAAAAAAAAATTGGATCATGACTAATCATTATCATGTTTAGCCTAATAATAAACATAATTAATAAATCAGCAAGGTCAGATTTAAAAGTTAATTTATTAAATACTGTATTTTTCGGAGAAAAAAAATAGAGGAAAGCATGGTTAATAATTAATATTCAATATGGAAGTGACATACAAAAATAACATAACGAATCAGCAGTTAGACTTTTCAGAAAAATGCGGAACCAGTGATGGCATATTTCATTTCACTTTTAACTTTTAAGACAAAGAAATCACTGACGAGTTATCCATCATCTTGAATAAAAAATAAAAAAGTTCGGGTATGTAAATCCAGATAATTGGACCACTTCGCATCAACAACGAAAAGAAAAGGAAACCGATTAGACTTGGTTAATTTGAATAGCAATGTCATTTTCCATGCGATCTATTGAACCACCTAAATTCTTCATTTGCTTTTCTTGGAGCCATGAACGTGTCACGTATTCTTTGAGTTAGATACAATGACGAAGACTTGGTGACATTGATGGGGAACCGTTACCAACTATTACAAGGCAAAATCACATTTGAAAGTTTAGAGCAATAAATGACCTCCTTTCCGGGTAAATATTATTTTCTTGCTCTATTTAATTTCGGTGTCCCTCGTTGGATGTGAGTTGGTAGTTGCGTTAATGTATGTCAATTTGGTTTTCTGTCTTTATTCAATAGAAAAAATTTAGCATATATAAATATTTGAAAATTTATTATTTAAAAATGATTTGTTGCCCTTTTGTTACAGTTTTTTTGAGTTATACATGATGATAATGGCATTGTTGCTCCCAGAAAAATGAAATTTGAAATATGTGTGTATCTTAGAGACAATCTGAATTGTCTGATGGCATTATGTATTTATGTATTTTAACAAATAATATTAAAGCATTACTTTTTTTATTCTATATTATCGTGTTTTCTTATTTATATGTTTGAATGGATAAAAGCCATTGAGATAATTAAGGTTTACTTCGAGGATCTATAATGAGATCATGATCATAAAAACTGAAATTTACTATTTGATTATTCTCTAAATTTGTTCCTAGTCAAGAATCACCAAAATATGACATTGGTCGACTCAATTACACTAGCACAATATTTGGCTACATGTAGGGTGATGTAAGGAACAGACCTCATAAGTGCAGGCATAGAAATGTCTTAACTGATGTTATGAATGGATTTGTTAGTACAACAAATCGTATCGAACTGACGTGCCGAGAGACTCCATAAAGAATCCTTAAAGCATATATGTATCATTAGATACAGTCTATCATTGTTTATTGATGGAGATCATACTTAAGCATAAGGTTTTCGTCGAATACTATGTCCAAAGCAAGGTTGTTAAAATTGATATCTTACCTAAGATCAGAAAAGGATGACAAAAGTGTAAAAACGTGAAATCGACACAGATCGTAAGATCATGTATTTTTAATTTTAATTATAAAAATAATATATTAAGTATTTATATTCCTAATTTTAATTATTAAAAATTATATATATCAAGTTTTTCAATTTTAAACATTTAATAATTAAGAAAAAAATGATTTTTCGAAATTGGTGGATAGTGCAATGCATAGAGAGACCTATTAGAAAAAGGTTATCAAATTATCATTAAATAAAATATTTTTTATTCCTATCATTATGTAAAATTGTAAATGTGTGCTGCAACTGGAGTTCAAAAATTCTTCTATTTTAATTTTTAACTTTTCAGCTACCAACCATCATTCTCTATGTCACGTCGTCAACAAAAAAAAATGGTTCTCTCTCTTTGAAATTTTCATCGGCATGTTGAATTCTTTTTCTTAAATTTCCTCACCTGATAATAATCATGCATAATAACACCCTCAGTCCCTCACTATTGTCTATCATCTCAATTTCAGGATGCCACCGATTGTGATGGGTAAGTCAAGTCTATTCCATGGCTTCTTCACCTCTATGGACAACACCACCCTTGGACTGTACCGAGCACCAACAAACTCGTTGAAGCACCAAAAATAGCTTTCCCTCTTCTA